CACCCCACATATCCACACACGCTCTCCCCCCCCACACACCCTCCCCCACACCCCATATACCACGCACACACAATATACCAGAGTAAGACTTCACTTCAAGCTTTTATATACAATCACCTCTACGTACACTACACAAACACATGTAAACCAGGGCAAACATATTCTTTGAAATCAAATTAATGAATGTTTTAGAATTTAGATGTTTGCTTTTTAGAATATAATTTAATATTTTTCTGGTTCCAGGATGGCAAACTCCCTTGCTGAAAGGAATAATTCTGATGGCAAAGGTTAGGGGGCAGGACTTCCAGTAACAAGATGGCAACCAGGGGCAGGGCACTTGTCAAGGGGCGGGGCTACCCATGCAGCCCTTGACAGCTTGCCAAAACTGGGTAAGTGGCCCTCTGCCTGAAATAATCGCCTGCCCCTGCTCTGGTGCCTTGCTTCTCCCCTGGGCCACTGTAGGCATGTGGCTGCATTTCTGGAATCAGAAGTGAACATTTGTTCACTTGCTCATTGGTTCAATCTATGCAGTTTATGGACCTATGAAAAGTGAATCCATTCAGCCTCAAGCTTTTTGACTGTCTGTACTTAGTCTGAATGAAGCATGAGCTTTTATACAACCCCATCAATATGCCACACTCCTGATCTGTGAACCTCTGTAGGTAAGAAGGAAGTTGGATTTTTCTGGCACATTCAGTGCTTGGATTCTCTGCTACCAACTCTGTCAATGTCTTTTGTGAGGTAGTTCAATAGATACCCAAATATGTGGTACTGCACATCCTACATGTCAGGAAAGAGCTTGTCACTCCTGAGCCCTGGATTAAGCAAGTATATATAAGTACTTTTACACGTCTGAGTTTTTACAGTCCCTGAGTCAACACAAATCCTGTCAGGTTCAATACTGACCAAAAAATACAGCTATGTGATGACTCTGATGCCACAAATAAAATGAGTCCTTGAACACCATTTAGTTTAGCTGTATTAGTATCTTAATGTCCGTGAACAAAACTGAGTTTACATCAAGATCTGGACTGACCGTTGTGTGGGTTATGTTTCTTCAACCAAAAGAAAAAAAAGTTTCCATAGTTTTCAATTCAGCAATTTTCCAATCACTAAATTTATCTTTAAAGTCCACAGCCAGTGTGATCAGGGGCTGTACCACACCAGGGAGCTGAGAGGGCAGTTGCTGCCACCTGAGCCATCTCCTCACCTCGCCCTGCTGAGGGCCCCATCTTCTCAGGATTGTTTTTATTCCTTTCCCCCTGATCAACTGAAAAGCATGTGGCTGGGTACGGAAGAGGTCAAACTAAAATAAAATGTAAAAATCCTGTTTCTATTCTGGTGTCTTTCCTAACCGTGTATTTTATACCCTGTTGCTTTAAAGAAAAAAAATAAACACCAACCCCTGGATGCGCTGTAACCGCCTACGCCTGGCTTTAGCAGGATTACGTGGCAGCATGACTCTTTCAAGGCAGCACTGAGGGGAAAGGCCGGTCCGAGGGAGACCTGGAGGGAAGCTCGGCCCACGTGGCTGCGCGGCGCTGGTGTCGCGCCCAGGGCCGGCTGGGCTCGGTGGGCCACGTGCC